ATTTAATTGCATCTTAATGTTAATATTGACGTAATGATTCAGCACTATTTATAAAACATACGTACATTCTGACGTTTTTCATAATTTTAAATAATTACATCTATACCTTTAGGTATATAATATGAAAACAGTTAATTTAAATTTAAAAAAAAAACAGGCGAAACCAGGCCAAATTGCTAGTAAACCTTACATAACTGCCGTCACAAAATATTTCAAGCCGTAGACGGATAATTTAGTAACAACTTTTATATAGAGAACCTACATCACTGTCAGCCGCTAGGGTCGGCGTCAAACCTAACAAAACCAGCTGAAGGCTGACACTGAAATACCTATTAATAAAATAAAATAAGAAACTTCTCGTGTTAAAAGTTTATATGTAATGTATTGAAAATATAATACCCAAGAGTGGTGTAGCTGTTTTACTTCATTATATATTGAACTAGCGATTCACCCTCGCTTCGCTCAGGTTCGTCTCTAGGTACGTTTTAACGGTTAGTATGAAATAGATAGGCTATATATTACATAGGTACAAAATATACAGTTCTGAGCTTTTCGATTTTTCAGATGTTCTAGCAAGCAGCAGCAACTGAGTCGAATCTGTACATTAAATATTTTTTGAAAAATCTTATTGAAATAATCATTATTATCGATACAGACGCCGAATCCATAGTTCTAGATTTTTTTGTTTGTCTGTCTGTCTGTCTGAGAACGTATCACGAGAACACCGCTTTTAATGAATGAACTTTGATGAACTTTGATGAAATTTGGTATGATGATAGCTGGTTATCCGGGTCAAAGAATACTTTTTTTGTGAGTATATTTACTCTAAAACTATAAATTCGGCGTCTGTATCGATAATAATGAATGACTATTTCAATAAGATTTGCCAAAAAACATTTAATGTACAGATTCGACTCAGTTGCTGCTGCTTGCTAGAACAGCTGAAAAATTGAAAAGTTCTCATCTCTGAGAGATCTACACTAACCGTTAAAACGTACCTAAGCACGAACGCTAGCGGAGCGAGGGCGGGTCGCTAGTATAGAATATTAATGAAAAGCTTTATTTCATACAATAGTTATAATTACATTGTGTGTTTGTATCGGGCGGCTCGTTTACAAAATGCATACATAAAGAGAAGTTAATTAAATCGTGCTAATTAGGTAGCTTTGCAACCTGATATACTCGTAATGTTATACGTTTAGTGAAAGATAGTAATTTTAGTACCCAGTTATTATTAAATATCATATAGGTATTAAGTGTTATTTTAATGTCAGTAACATAGTAATATATTTTTTTAAACTTATCTTTACTTCTATAGGTACTGTTATAAATGCGAAAGTTTGTGAGGATGTCTAGATGTATAGATGTATGGTTGTTTGTTACTCTTTCACGCAAAAACACTGAATGGATTTGAATGAAACTTTACAATAATATTGCTCGTACATCAGAATAACACATAGATTTATATATTTTATATATTTGTTTATATTTTCCAGAGTAGAACCGAGCGAAGCTAGGTTCAGCCGCTAGTCAACATATAAGAGAAAATCGCCAGTGAGCGTCTGTCTGTCCTCTATTTGGAAACACCTAAGGAATCTAAAGTAAAGAATGTATTCAATAGTAAAATATTGTTATTATCGTTTCGAGATTATTGATCCAGTTCTAAGCCGTTGTCTGTTTGTCAGCGGGCTGTGGCTCATGAACCCTAATAGGTACAGAGTTGAAATTTTCACAGAACGTGTATTTCTATTGCCGTTATAACAACAAATAATAAAAAACTAAGATGGCGAATTTCAAAATGGCTGCTTTGCAAATAAACAAATCGATTAGTACATAGTGTTATATTTTGTACGACGGTACGGGACGAATCAGATGCGCACTTGACCGTTTTTTTATCACTGATTTTTATATAAGTGGCTGATCCTTGCGACCATGGTCTCAGACACTACGTTTAAATAATAAATACAATAATAACAACAATTTAACAAACAAATAATAACAATTAAATAAAGAAGAGTTCCTCAAAAAAAAAAATTTGAGACGTTCAAAGAACATCGTTACCCATTTTATATTTCGTAAAACTCGTTAAATCCTTACATTCATCGGAAAAACCGAAAAAGATGCAGATTCTAAAAAAGCCAATACATCAGGCCAATTCAAATACAAAATTTATAGGTAGTCTATACAAGGCTGGGTGAAGTAAAAATGCAGCCCTATTCAGCTATCAATGGGCGGGCGGATTGGCGGGCTTTGTGCGCTCGGATAATCTGACCGAGTGATTTAATGCCTCCATTCAATATCTGCGCCTGAGACAATATAGCTGTATTACCTACTCTAATTGATTTTTTGTATTGAGAATTGATTTCTTGTCTTATTGAGAGGATATTGTAATTTTTTTAACTGCCTCGGTGGTGTAGTGGCTAGCATGTACGGTTGCACACCCGGAGGTCCTGGGTTCGAGTCCCGGGTCGGGCCAAGTTTAGTTATTGAGTCTTCCTGTATAGTAAGTCTCAGTAACAGCCCGGAGTTGGGAAGTTGGCGGTGTTTCACCCCCGTGCCTCGGAGAGCACGTAAAGCCGTCGGTCCTGCGCCTTAACTCTCACCGGTCGTGTCGAGTGGTCGTCCCACCGGAGTATGAGAGTGATAGGAATAGAGAGTGCACTTGTGTCTGCGCGTACACTTGAGCACTATAATATCTCCTGCGCAGTTGGCTAATCTCATTGAGATTGGCCGCCGTGGCCGGAATCGGCTAGGAGAACATCATCATCATTGTAATTTTTTTAAGATGCTTTTTAATAACGTTGGGCTCAGTTTGTAGCGATCCTACTCGCTGTGCCAGTGGTCGCGGGTTTGAGTCCCGCTGGGGGCATTCATTTGTGTGATGAGCACGAATGCTTGTACTCTAGTTATGGGTGCTTATATTTATAATATGTATGTATTTAAACTTATATATGTGTAGTGTATCAATTATCTGGTATCCATTACACAGGCCTCGTAGCTTACCATGGAACTAGATGGTGCTGTGTGTTAATGTCCCAACATATTTATTTATTTATTATTTTACAGTTTCATTTGCGTATTCGATATTTACGTACATTATGAAATTAGTAAGTAATATACAAAGTAAAGACTAGCCTTAGACTCGTCCTCATACATATAGATAAGTATATACATTTCAAAAACTTCTTGAAAGGCAACACTTAGCCTCTACTGGTGATAAGAGAGCTGACTCGTTATTCGCCCAAATAATCGGCATTGTCATTCAGCGCGGGAATGCAAATAGCATTCTTGCCACATGACATGACTTGTACAGTAATAATTAAGTGAACATTTATTTTGTATTAGATAAATAAAACAAATGTATGTATGTACATATATATTTTTTTTGTATTTTCAATGCATTTCTTTTATCTTAAGACTTCTTTGTTATATTTATTGTGTTATAACAAAGGAAACTCAATTTATCCCGTACAACACAACTCTACTATAGTAGGTGGTCAATTTTTTAAAACTTGCTTGAAGCAGAAATCGAACCAGCGACCTTTATATTTATCTACCAATATAGATTTCATAATTATTCATAGATTACAAATATTAATTCTTAGCCCAACACAATGAGTAAATCAATATTATTAAAAGACGTAACTATGTCCAGTTTCTAACGTAGTTTATATCCTACTAGCAAACTCATCCCACTCGGGTTCATATCTAGGGACGTTTTAACGGTTAGTATGGATTTTTCAAAGACGAGATATTTTTCAAAATAAAAAGTATCCTATATGTTGCCTCGGGTAACCAGCTATCATTATACAAAATTTAATCAAAATCTGTCCAGTAGTTTTCTCGTGATGCGTTTCCAGACAGACAGAGAGACAAAAAAACTATAGATTCGATAATTATAACATCAAGTTTCAATAAAATTTTCCAAAAAATATTTAATGTACAGATTTGACTCAGAACTTTATTATACTCGTATATATATATATATATCTGTAGATGAAAGCTAAAGGACCTTAAGTCCATTTTTTTACATTTTTGATTTTTTAATGATTCTAATTCAGAATACCCGTATTGATTAAATGGTAAAAGACATTAAGTCCTACAGCCACTAAATTCACAGAAGTAAAATTATAAATAACATCAAGTCCCTACGCGTGAAAAAGTGAATGATCGTATGGTTACTTAATATTCTTTACTATTCAAACAATAAACCTAGATAAATGTTAAACGTTAGTATGTGGGACTTACTATTCTTTACCATTACGCGCGGGTTACATTTGCGCGGGTGCTATCATACCTACGGTCGCCGCCCCGCGACCCTGCGCACGCACTCTCTCCCGTTAAGCAATAATTTATAATATTATAGTTTTTGTTTCGTGCAAAATTAATCGTACGCGTATTGTGTTGTGGGGACAACAAAGAATAATCTTTTAAAAAATATGAATATTGGACGAGGAAGAAGGCTTGTTGATATAATAAAATTATCAGGTACGTCAATATATTATCATTATTTAATATTTTTTTATTATTTTTAAGAGAATATACAAATGTTAACATAATTATGAGGATATTATATTTCATATTTGACAGATATTCAAATAGTTTCTAATGTGTATGTATTATTTAATGTATTTCACTTTCTTGTAAGTATGTAGTGCTATTATAGGTGTGTGCAGGATAAAATAAAAACATACATATCATCATGTGTTACTTATGGTTATTATGGAAAATACCTAACCTACAATGCATTAACCATTAATATCTTATGAAAAGTCATACTCATATGGAAGTGGATGGTGTACATTCTATTATTGAGAGAAAAAAAAGAGACAACCGCAATTTTCCATAATGACCCCATGGGACTTTCACCAGTTCATACGGTACTGTTCTTAGATAAGGCAACAATTGAAGTTATTGATATGTCAAGTGAAGATTTTAAAAACATATTGAATATCCAAGAAGGTCCTACAGCGCCATTTATTCACCGCAAAAAAGGAGATATGGGTCAGTCAGTGCCTTACTCTGAAATAGTATGGATGAAATTTGAAACAGAAGATTATGGCACAATGAGTTATAAAACTTCTTTCAATCAGAAGGACTTTGAAAAGGTCTCCTTAATAAGAAATAGAAGGAGACCCTTAGAAGATTTTGCTATGCCTACTTTGCAGCCTATACGACTAGACCACAAACCTATAAGTACAAAAAAATATCAGGATTTACAGAAAGCTCTCCAATGGGTCCCACCCATTTTCCATAACTTTTATAATACTTTAGCCCACGATGGCACAGCGTGTGACTTACCAGAAGACTTGCGACTTACTCTCGCTTCACTTGGGTTCGTCCCTAGTAACGTTGTTTTTGCGGAACCCTAATTCTTTTACTAAAATAAAAGTAGCCTAGTTACTCCTTATAACAAACACCAGCTATATGCCAGTGAAAGTCCTCCAAAATCGGTCCAGCAGTTTTGGAGATTCACGAGAACAACAGACAGACAGACAGACAAAAATATAAAAAAATGTGTTTTCTAATTGTTAGTACCGTATATACTTTGACATGCATTTAGTAAAAAGCTGATATTTTTGTGTTACAAACAGACACTTCAATTTATGTATCTGTATAGATTTTAATGTTCAAAGATTTTAGTTTTAATTAAATAAAAAATATTATGTACAATTTTGTTTTATTTCTAAGGTCATTAAAACTTTTTAATACAAAATTTTTCTATAATTTTAAGTTATAAAATAATTAAATATACTATATATTTTTGATACAGGAGTGACGTAACTACCATATACTATAAGATATTTAGTAAAACTCCAAAGTTAAAGAACCTTAAGTCCGATAATACAGCCTTAAGGAACTAAATTTGATAAAAAAATAACACAATATAATAGCTTAAGTAACCATCATAATCATACTTTTTATTTGACAACGATACGCTATTTACTTTTTATACACGGTCAATTTTATTATCTCATTTCGGGTTTTTCATCTTTAATGAGCTCTACTGAATACTTTATAAAATGTGACTTAAGGCCCTTTACTTTTCACCTTCAGATATATATATATATATATATATATATATATATATATATATATATATATATATATATAGATAAAAACATTAAAATCTGTAGCAACATAAAGTCATATTAAAATTGTTACAGCACTTATCGTGGTATCACTTAGATGGGAATAATTATCTCTACTTCAGCTAAGTGAAGTAAATGGATACTAAAAAATAATACTTTTAACTTAAAGTTTATTACTAAACCACTTCAACTTGTAGCATCAATCACAATTCATTTTGAATCAAGTTTGTTTCACTAACATCGCTAACTTAGTGTTGCTATTATTAAAAACGCTTCAATGATATATCGCTAGTAAGAATGGTCGCACACTGATGAACGATCGTGTATTAAAGTTTTATTTAGTACTCGTGGTAGTGGTTCTAGAAAATATATTATATTGAAAATGGTAAGATCGACTCCAAGGTACTTTAGTATTAATTTAAATTCTGCCAAACAATATAACGTCTTAAACTAAATGTTTACTTCATAATACGATTTATTCAACCATTTTACGGTTCTAATACTGAGCACCTGAGACTGGTGGCTGTAGTCCATCACGTTGGTTAATTTAAACTATCATGAACTACTTAGGTTATGTCAGTTTCTTTTGTTTCTAAAATAAGCAACTATGACTGTTACTACAAATAAATTATGCATAATATATTCGTTAGAGAACTTTCATCGAAACCCTTCGTTGGATCTACAGCTACAATATAGCACAGATCAAATGATACTATACTAGTGCAGATGCCTCATCCCATGCAAAATAATTGGACATTGTTGATTCGGGCTATTTTTATTTACTTGAATAGATAATAGATATTGTTGATTCATAAATAGTTAAACTGTTTTATTTTATAAATATGTGCTAACTGACGTATGGTAAATATTTAAAAATTCATCCTAATTTGGAATAATAAAAAAACAGTGATTTTAATATTTTTTTACCGTCATAAACAATTTACAAAAAGCGCCATCTGTGAATATACACTACAAACTCATCATTTGATTGCTGATATTTCAATAATTAATCAGTAAAATTACGCTGATTTACGAGCGCATTATTACGTTTCCCTTCACTTACAATATTATTAAATCAATAATATACCTTTTTGGGATCTACTTTTTGTTAATTTAACACAACTTTAATAACAAATCGATACATGCAACGTCATCTATTGACATTTATTTGAACTAATTTTTCTTTGTTCGTGATGAGACCCCATGATTATAAGTAACTCGTTCTCTTGCTCTCTATCACACCAATTGTCTTGTGAAGGAAACCACATCAAAATAACATCATGTACCACACAAGAAAATCCGCATTTTTCTCTTAATAATAAAATATAAAAGTCTATATTATGCGCAGAGACGGTTGCAAAATCCCGCTGGGTATGGAGGGGGTGTTACGACGTTTATTGCTTTGATTTATCGTTTTCTTAATAAATATGTCAAGTACCCGATTCGGCTTGAGGCTTTATAATTAATTGTTTTAACGAATATTAATTGCTTTTTATACATAAACTTATGAATAAACAAAAGATTGAAAAATACTCATAAATATGGATATTACATCTCCGAGTAAATTATATAAAGTGATTTTTTTTCTGACGGTTATCCAGCACAGTTTCGATTGACTGTATTTTTGGCTCACAGTTGTATAAAGATGAACACCTCGTATAATACCGTCACAGGGTCAAGGTTCAATTTATGCTGAAATATACTACAGGTACAGTTTATAGTATATAGATCTATCTAGTTGCGATTTTTTTGAAATATAGAAATTGGGAACGCACATTTTATTGTCTGTTACGTCGTGAAAGACTTTTTCACAGATTCCAAAAAGGGAAGGTACTCAATTCGGATGTATGTATATTATTTCTTATACACAATAATTATATAATGATTTAAAAAAAACTAGGTCCATAAATATACGCTAAGCCGATAAAAGCTAAGAAATCTTATAAAAATATCCAGGCAGGACCCGCGGGTAAAAGCTAATGCAATATAAAGCCGAATAATAAGAGGATTGTCTATAGAAACTTTTAGCAATCGGTAATTAATAGGTACATTTATTTTGAAGAATTTGTTTGCAAAAGTTGTTTTTCTTTCTAATATTTAAATATTTACCAAGTGTAGGTCCTAATTGTGTGTACATATATGAATATACGAGTATGGTAAGGTTTGAGAGAGATTGCGATCGTTATTATTACCATATTATAAACATATTTAATGGTGCAAAATTTTTGACCACACGTTTGGCTCAGTTTGTAGTGACCCTAATTGCTATGCTAGCGGTCGCGTGTTTGAGTCCCGCTGGAGACATTCATTTGTGTGTGATGACGAATGTTTGTACTCCAGTCATGGGTGTGTATATAACCCCCCCAACGTGCGTTCACCTTGTCGTGGTGGGGGGGCTCAGTAGTGCCCGGCAATACAGCCGGGCGCGAAGCCAAGAAACGCACAGGGAGGTGGGCCACTTCTGTGGGCGGTGTAAGGTGGCCCTCTTCGGAGGGCGGTGTACCATGCGGGTTGCTCCTGGTACTTCTCTGTTAGCAGAGTGGACTTTGGAGCAACTCCATGGTCGTTGTGGTCTGCCTCGGCAGACCTGCCGTCGGGCGTCGTAGTTGAATGCGTAAGCGATCCTGCGACGCCCCATTAAGACGGGGGAAGGTTTTGTTGGGTTTTAGTGGGTAGTACTGGCTTTGCCGGTGAGTCCCACACCTCGTGCGTAAATGCATTTCCCAACGTTAAAAAAAAATGGGTGTGTATATAATATGTATGTATTTTAAGTTATATATGTGTAGTGTATCAACTATCTGGTATCCATAACACAGGCCTCGTAGCGTACCATGGAACTTGAAGGTGCTGTGTGTTAATGTCTCAATATATGTATTTATTTACATTTCGACAAACAAAGTCACAGAAAACAAATAGTATTGCTACCGTAATCTTCATAATTGCCTTTCTCATCCCCCAATTTATATATTTTGTAACCCCGGTGTAGGAAGCGTTAGATCATTTACAAAACATAGCTTCCTTGGATCGGTCAGCGGTACAAATGTACCGGTTGTCTACACGGGCTATTTGAAGTAAATGGGCCGTGACTAGATTAGATCGAAGTTTGTTTTCAAAAAGAAATGCGATTTCTAATACGTATATATGCTTCACTTAAAATTCTTGGCTTATTGAATTTGCTGAGGTAAAATTATAAGTGGCTTAATTATTATTATTATTATTTTAAGATTTTCCAAAAAATATCTAATGTACAGATTTGGCTTAATTACAAGTATATTATATGTATAGATAATATTTACTTTGGTTTTACAAAGGTCTTCTAAAATAAATCCTAATTAACCGACTTGAGAAAAGAAGAGGTACTCAATTCATCTGTTTTTTTTTGTGTGTACATTCTCTCTTTATTTACGCCAATTTACTCATATATTATATATCCTAATTTTTTTATTATTAAGCTTAGCCTTAGAGACGATCCCATTTAAAATTAAAAAAAAAACCCTTAATGTAATAACAATATTTTTTATTGAACACCAAAAAAGAAACCTAATAATAAAAAATTAAAACACAAAATAAAGATGTACAACAGGCGATCTTATCGCTGGCAGCAATATCTTCCAGGCAACCTTAAGGTGGAGGAATAAGTTTTACTTGCTTCGACACGTTTACATATATAAATAGATATATTTACCTATAAATAAAGAGATACATATATAAACCCATATACATCCATACATACATACTTACATACATACATACATACATACATACATACATACATACATACATACATACATACATACATACATACATACATACATACATACATACATCAAAAACCAAAAATCAAATAATTACTTTTTAATGATTTTTAAGTCGCACGTATTTTTTGAGTTAAAAAGTTATTTACATACATATATGTCAGCTAACGCCGCTCACATCATAGGCTAAAGTGACAAAAGAAGCAAAAGAAAAAATCTGTTGGTTTGTTTAATTATATCCTAATATTAATATTACACAGTAACAAAATTATCTGTAAACAAAATATGAAGTCGATAAGTTATTCCGCTACTGCGTGAAATGCCGACTAATTAAGACGATCAATTCATATTTATGATATTAATAAGAATTATTTATGGAGGACGATGGAAAAATATATAATAATTGTTCATCAAAGAGATAACCTGAAATGGTTCTTACAATATATTTTGCTTCGATATTTTTTAATTTTTTGAGCGGATCCCTAATACTTTTGCTAAGTTACTTCTTATAACATCAGCTATCTACTAGTAAAAGTCCCGTCAAAATCAGTCCAGCCGTTTTGGATATAAACCGGAACAGACAGACAGATAGACGGAGAGACCTTAACAGTTGCGTTTCTCTTATAAGTACCGTATATAATTTCGTATGGATTTAGTAAAAAGCTGTTATTTTGGCATTACAAACAGAAACTTCAATTTTATTTATCTGTATAGATATTCTATGGTTTCTTAGACAGTATGTACGAAAATACCAGTAGCAGTTACTTTCGTAATAATTCAAATAAACAATTTGTCTGCCAGTGTCGTAATTGTTTTAGCTATGGAGAAACATTTGTCAACTAATAGTAGGGTAGCTTATGCCATAAAAATAAGCAGTTATCACTTCCCATGACCATGGGATCATATTTTATGGTATAAACGTAAATAGTAATGTAAGTTTTTTCTTTTGAACTTTGCATGTTTTGAAACTAAATCAAATGCTAAGCAAATAAATAGGTCGTATATAATTGTATA